ACATATCTCACCACTCAACTGCCAGGTAAGTTCCCACTCCACAAACTGAACACTGTCAAACAGACATGCCCCATGTACGTTGAACGTTGCAAGGATTTATTTCCAGCGGACTACCACAGGGAAGTTCAAAATGAGATGATTCTGCCCTCCTCAATTAAGACCATTAAGTGACTAAAAAAGGTTCAGCATTAGGAAATCACAGCCATTGGAGTTTTGGCAGATTTCAATGGGCTGAAAGTAAGATTTGTATTAACTCAGGGCAGTTGATAAAAATTATGGCTTACTCAGATCTTCAAACTGGCAAAAAGAGGAACACAACCAAATCTAGAAGAACACCATGTGCCACTTAAAGTATTCCCAGTCTGAAATATCACTGAAATAAAACCTATAGGAGGCAAGTCAAATGGAACATATAAAAATGTCAAGGAAGTAATATTAAACTATTATGTCACTAAAACATGCTTGTTCATGTAGCCTGCTCTACAGGAGTTATTATGGAATATTTTAAGATCTTAAATGAGTGTGCATTCATTCATGCTGAAAGCAATTTAATGATACACTAAACACAATGCACTGAAATATCCCTACTCAAACTTTTTATGTTAAAAAGAAACTCACAGTTTTTATGTTAAAGAGAACAGATATACTAACAATATTACTGGGGTTTTAAAAAATGCTATAAGCAGCCAGAGCTACATACAACTGTTATGCATATAGAATCCATTTATTTTATTCTGCACAAACACATACACAAAAATGCATTCATATAAATAAAAGCAATATCTCTATATATAGCTACAACACTTCTCAAACCAGGGATTCTCAGTCACAGTGCACAGGAAGAACAGACAGAACTCAAGAGCAAACCTGATCAAATACTAAAAATATGCTGAAGAATCTTTTAAAATATGAGCTACCATTAAGAATCAAAGAGCACACAGTTCTAAATATGAACTTCATGCAACACCCAAGTTTAAACATGGACTCAAGCAAAATCCAAAGCAACAGTTTAAGACGAAAAACAACACAGACTGAAAAAAGAATCTGTCCTACCTTTATTGATACTTATCTCAGTTGTTAAAGCAATATCCTCGTTAAGAAAAGCCAACCTTTGCAAAACAAATAAAAGGTCGTTAAGGAGCTTCAAGCATTACAACATAAACTCAAAGGGCATCTCCGAGCACCCGTCCCAGCCTCTGCCGTAGGGACACGCCTAGGAGAACTCTGACACAAACAGTAAAAAACCCCAAACCCAAGGCATGTAATGTGATTTTCTGCACAGAAAACCATAACTAGGGAGGCACCTCGCTGCTTTAAGTATTTCCAAGAACTACCGTGTCACAAAGCCATCATGAAGGTCTGCGTGTGGTTTCAAATCCTTGCCACTTCTTAAAGGATACAAGAGATAATGCCATGAAAATGACATCAAGGCAAAGTTGCAAGGAAATAGAATTAGCACAAACTGTATCTAATAGTGCTTATTTTCTCAGAGTTGTTTTCTGGGACATTTCACTTCTTCTGACTAAAATGTTAATAAAATGGTGGGTCCGGCGACATAAGCCCCGAGGCACAACAAGTGTGTGAGAATAGACGGAGCTATTTGCAGAGCTACGAAATTCTGGGTAGAGGAGCATATAAAACGGCTCTGAACAGAACGGAGAAAACAAAAAACAAAAGAAAACAAATAAAAAAGAAGGGGAGAGGGAGAGGGAGAGGGAGGAGAAGAGAGAAGAGAAGAGAAGAGAAGAGAAGAGAAGAGAAGAGAAGAGAAGAGAAGAGAAGAGAAGAGAAGAGAAGAGAAGAGAAGAGAAGAGAAGA